AGCGGGCCGGTCGAGCTCCGACCTACGAGGGTCGCCTGCAGCAAGAGGTCTCCGACAAAGGGTGGTGGTTCACGAGCCGACGCTGGGTAGACCCGGCCGTGGTCGCGCCACCACTCCTCCTCCTCCTCCTCCTCCTCCTCCTCCTCCTCCTCCTCCTCCTCCTCTTCCTCCTCCTCCTCCTCCTCCTTTTCCACCTCCTCCTCTGCTTCTCCTCCTCCTCCTGCTCTCCTCCTCCTGTTTCTCCTCCCTCCTCCTCCTCCTCGCCCTACTTCCTCCGTTCCTCCTCCTTCTCCTCTTCCGCCTCCTCCTCCTCCTCATCCTCCTCCTCCTCCTCCTCCTCCTCCTCCTTTGTGCGCTGGGGGGACGACGCCCCGCCCCCCCGCCCCGTTCCACTAGCTGGAACTGCCGTCGCCCGAGAAAACACACCGGCTGCGGCTGACCTGGTTTAGCGATTCTGGCCAATCCACGGGCTCCAGGGCCCTGCCACGAACCGGGCCCCCCTTACCTGGGGTCTTGGCTATACCCGATGAAAGCCCCCGTCCCTCAAATTCCCCGGCCCCACGGGCCAGATGAGTGCCAAGATCTCCGGCAGCAGGTAAGCTGCACGCCTGTCCCAGACACAGTTCGCGCGCGCGTGCGGGGCGCGCCCCGCCCGGGTCCCCGGGAGAAGAGCAGTGCTGCCGGCAGGTCCCTGGCAAGGTCCCCCCTCGGAGAGGGTGTGGCTCCCGGGCGCGCCGCCCTTCGGGGCTTCCCCGATAGCCCCAAGAGCAGCTGAGAGACCCCCAGGAAGCCATCGAGGTGGTCCGAGAGAGCCCCCCGAGACGCCAGAAGATCGCTCCTCGACGCCCGGGATAGCCTCCAGGCGGCCCACGCAGCCTCCAATACGCCCCAAGAGGCCTCCAGGAGGCCTCCCAAGAGAGTCCCAAGAGGCAAAAGTCATTGAGTTTCAGCCCCCCTCTGGGAGTTTCAGCATGGAAACAGCGGTGGAGGCCGCTGTCCCTGCGCGAGCACGCCCGCGTGCGGTTGTCGCCTGCAGAGCGCTTTCCTGGCTCCCTTGTGGTATGCAGCTCCGCACAGGCCTGACGGAGTCAGACAACAACTCGCCCCTCCCCATCTGCTTTCGCCTCCCTCCTCGCTCCTTTTTGTTCCTCCTCCCCGCCAGCCTCCGCTCCTCTCCCCGTTCCCCCTCTCCCCTCCCCCCTCCCCCCTGCCCCCCCCTTCAACCCTTGAACTTTCGTCCTCCCTCTCGTCCCCTCCTCCCCCTCGTCCCGCCCCCCCTCCTCCCTTCCTCCCCCTCCTCCCCCTCCTCCCCCTCTTCCCCATCCTCCCCCTCTCTTCTCCTCCTCACCCTTCGTCTTCCCTCTACAATTACTCAATATGAATATACTCTCCCTCTTGCCCTGATGGCGTCCGGGTGATGGCTGCGCATTCTCCGCGTACTGTTTTTTACACACAGGATTCCCGGGAAATCCCGGGAAACGACTCTCGCTGAGGCGCCAGCGTCATTTTCGGGCCGAGCGCCCCCCGCGTATTGTTTTTTACACACAGGATTCCCGGGAAACGGGTTTTCGCCTGCGTTTTTTTTTTTTTTTTATAATGATGTTCTCGCTGAGGCGCCGGCTTTCTGCTCCCGAATCGTTCCGAATCGTGCTCCCGCTGTAGCGTGGGCCTCATTTTCGGATCGGTGTTTGGCCTCAGTCGTTCAGGATGGCGTTCTCGCCCCAGCGCGGGCCTCTTTCTCGCGCGCCCATCCGCCCGCCACCACCGCGCCGCACCACCACCACCACCACCACCACCACCACCACCACCACCACCACCATCAGCACCACCACCACCACCACCACCACCACCACCACCACCACCACCACCACCACCACCACCACCACCACCACCACGCACAACCACGCACACACGCACGCACGCACGCACGCACGTGCACCACCACCCACTACGCACGCGCGCGCGGAGCCACAGGTCCGCTACGACACGCGTCCGCGGATAGAGAAAATCAGCGCCATGGTAAGGGATGGGAGGGAGGGGTAGGACGTCAGATATGACGCGAGCGCACCTAGCTTGTCTTCCCCCCTTCCCTTTCGTCCCCTCCCCCTCGTCCCTCCCGCCCCCTCCTCCCCCCTGGAAGGGCTCCAGATTATCAAAGACACGCGCGGCGTAGGGTTCCGGATTATCAAAGACACGCGCGGCGTATTCGGAATTGGGCGTGTTGCGCATTTGTTGTGTGCCACAAGCTGGGTCTCTTCCTCAACAGCAGCACGATGATGGGGTCGGGTCGTCCGACCAGTGTGTCGGTTGGTACTGCTTTTGCTTTCCGGCCTCCCTTCTTCTTCTTTCTCCTTCCTTTCCTCCCCTTTCGTTTTCCATCTTCACCTCCCCCCTTTCTCCTCTTCCCTCTTCCCCCTCCCCTCTCCTCTCTCCCCCCTCCCCCCTCCCCCCTCCCCTCCCCCCTCCCCCCTCCTTCCTCGTCCTCCGCCTCCCTCCTCATTCCCCCTCCAGCTTTCCTCCCTCCTCCCCCGACCTTCTCGCCCTCCACTCCTCCCCCCCTCCTCCTCCTCTCTCTCTCCTCATCCCTCCTCCCGCCCTCCCTCCCTCCCTCCCTCCCCCCTTCTTGCGTCCTTGTCATCATAACGAACATGAGCATCTGGTTATGTGGCACTTGCGGCCTTCTTGGTAAAGCCGGGCCCGGGCCGGCCGCGCCACGTCTCTGCTGCCGCGCCGCTCCGCGCCGCCGCCGCAGTGAGAATGGCCGGCGGCCGCCGCCTCCACGGCTTCGTCGTGGCCGTGGCGGCAGCGCTGGTCGGCCAAGGACGTCCCTTGAGTTGGGAGGGATTCGGCCACACGTGCCCGTGGTACCCGTAGGTTTTGTTGCACGCCCAAGTCCCAGTCTGCTTCAGGTGCTTCCTACTTCGATCGTCGGGTGTTTTTGTTTCCTGTCCTTCCTCTTCAGGGGGCGGGCGGAAGGCCGATCTGCTTCCAAAGCCTTCCAGGCCCAACCCGTTCCTCACCACCCACCAAACCACCCCAACCCAACCCGAAGGCCCAAATTTATCATCGATTTCCAGTGGGGGGGGGTCGGGGAACGTCGAAAAAACACATGGTATCCGTACCCCCCCCAACCCGAAATTCGGGTCGAATTCGGGCCTTCGGGTTGGGTTGGGGTGGTCTGGTAGGTAGTCAGTTCCTGCCCACTTCTTCTGACCGACGGGTTAAGATCAGGAGGGAAAGAAACACACAGACACAATTAATCGTCGAGTCCCAGGAACATACGGGGAAATATGGGAATTGGGCGGGAAGACAAAAAACTCCAAAAATATAGGAACATATAGGGAATCATTTTATTAGTGTGTATTTATGTGTGTGTCCCAGGGCCCCTTCATAAGAGAGTGACCTTTCACTGCAAGCAGTTGATTGCTTTGTGTTGTTTCAGCAGTTAAATGCGAACATTTATTTTTCTTGTTTAAAAGGAGGTAACCCACATGCAGTCCGATGTCGGTCTGACATATCGTGATTGTCGAATCATAGAATGTTGCGTTGAAAACTTTCTTGAAGATTGAACATACAATCGAAACGTCAAACACTTTATACATTGAGCTTGTTATTGGCTTATTCACATCACATTAATATGTTTCTATTCAATTAAGACCAACTAAAAAAACAAAAAATCAAAAAACAAATCAACTAAATACAGAAACCACAAATATTTGTGCTCCTCGGTGCGGGCACACAAAGGGTTCCCCGATGACCGAGCGCGCTGCGATGGCGGCGTCCTGCGCGCTCGGGTCCGGCCTCCCCGCGGCCCGCCGGGAGTCGTGCACCAGAGGCCAGGCCACTCCTTGCCTTGGCATCGCTCGGACGCGTGCATTTTTCCTTCGGCGAGGGCCATCGAGGAGCATCCTTGACCATGTGGCGAAAAAACCACGCACGAAACCAAAAAAAAGGGAATGGACGTCCGAGCGATGGCCATGGGTCACTCCTTGCCGAGGGTCACTCCTGCGTGTTGCTGAGGGGTAATCGGACATACCCGCATCTGCGGCCTCGCGGGCGGGGCCCTTGGTCAGGGGCAGCGATAGGGGGGATAGGCACAAGGGGGGGATGCATCGACCCCCAATCGCCCACTGATCGCCGACAGGGGTCTGATGATACCAACCCGCCCAGGAAGGTGCGCATTCACTATCGGGGGCCTATCGCCGATGTCTCGGCGATGTGTCGCCGATTCCAGGTCGATGCACCCCCCCCCTATGCCAGTCCCCCCCTATCGTTGCCCCTCACCTGGGCGGCGACCCTGCTACGTTCTTTCGCGGATGCCCCGCGTGGAGCGTACCCGTGCGGCGGCGTATTTGCAGGATTGCGCCCCCAGAGTCCAGACCGCAGGGGCGCAGATACGGGTATGTTCGCCGCTCGTGATTGATCTGCCTAATACAGACGGACCGGATTAGTAGGTCGACCCTGCCAGATCAAGGGCACCCTCGTGTCCTGTGTCTTGCGACCCATGCCCCCTGCATTTCTGTGGCAACGTGGCTCTCGGAAGGGTCTTGTGTCCTCTCGCGTGTCCTCTCCAATCAAGTCCGATTGTAAGGCTCTAGTGTTATAAGGCTATAGGGCTACCGGGCGTGCACCCGGGCACCCCCGGGCACGCCCGCGGCCCGCGGGCACCCGGGCACCCGGGCACCCGGCACCACGGCTCCCCCGGGCACCCGGGCACCCAGGCGTGCGGCGAAAATCGGCGGCAAACCTAACCTGCCCATATGAATCCGCTAGGACCCCTACAGAGGCAAGCTCTGATTGGGGAAAAAGGAAGGGGAAACGAGCCGCAGTGCGACTCGGAGCCGAACCGAAAACGGCGCGAACAATAGTCCCCAAGCAGGAGAAGCCCAGGAACAGGACCCCCCCCCAGCGTTTTTCACATCACGTAGGGACCCTCCCAGCCTCCTCCCCTTCCTCCCCCGCCCCCCTCCGCGACGCGCGCGCACCGCGGCGTCGGTGAGGAGCACAAGCCTCCGGCAACCACAAGCGCCCCGCGCCGCGCCGCCTTCGCTGCTGCAGGGGCGGGGGCGGTTTCGGCCCTGCGAGGGGGCGGGTTGCCCTTTTCCCGAGGTGAGGAAAACGGTACCGATACTGCTAGTACATTTTTTCCCCGTAGTTCTCGTTTGTTTGGGCCCTCCTGGAGGCCCTCGTCGCCACCGCTGGGTCCGCCTCGAAATCCTGGTCAGCCCGCACCCCGGGACAGGTGTTTCGGTGCCTTTTGGTTTCCCCAGCCTTTATCCGAAGCGGGGGAGAAGGGGTCTTGGAAGAGGGAGAAAGGAGGAGGAGGAGGAGGAGGAGGAGGAGGAAGAGGAGGAGGGAAAGGAAGAGGAGCAGGAGGAGCTCGTTATACCACCTGTGCCCGAAGGGTTGGTAGGGTAGTTTTTTTTCCGAGTCTGTTTATTGATATCGAGTTGTCTTCCAGTAGTGCTGGCTGTCTGTGCCATTCGCCGCAGTATTGGAAGGCCTGTCCTCGTAGTTACCGCTCCTTGCGGTTCAAAGCAGGATTCGTGGTGGAGGAACTCGTTGGGTTCGAAGCAGGATAACAACAACTCTGCGCTGCGAGATTCAACGGTAGGCCAAGGCGTTCAGCATGGCATCCAGGACCCAGTATTTGCGCGAATAGCGAATTCAACCACATTTTCTCGCCTGCATTCAGAGGGCAGATCCAGGATAAGCCATGCTGCCATATTTTGCTTGGTACCGGTGTGCAGAGGGCGGTCTTATTTATGAGGCAGGCACAATAGTACCGAGTGCTGACGCAGCGACGGCAGCGACAGAGATGCACTGGCGTGGGAGCGGTTGCCGCGGGTTCTTTTCAGATGCCATGAGCTTTGCAGGTACCTCATCGCCTCCTCGCCTGCCAGCGGGAAGGCGGGCCCCGTTTCGGCCATTTCATTCGTCTTCGTCTTCCGTTCTAGTTGCAGGCGTCGGCTAGTGGAGGCCAGGAAGGTTCGAGGTGTGGCGATGCCCCTCGAGGGTGTTTGTTTCTTTGTATATGCTTGGGCTCATTTTCTGGGCGTCCTTCGGTACCCAGGATTATGTCGGGCGTGTCCTCCTACAGTCGGATCATGGACGAACAATTAAAGTATGGTCAAGATATGTTCAAACATAATCAACTAAATTGTAGAAACATCGTCACCCTATTATTCTTGATCATTTTGTGAGTACTCCTCCTGTAAAGGGGCATGCCCGACCGGAATCTGTGGCGTCGACGGGAGTTTTGGGTATTCCCGCCCGCGCTCCCGAGTGCTACAGTCGCCCGTGCGATGCAGCGGGAGGACAGAACCCCTCGGTGGGCGTTTTGTATTCATTGTTTTGCCGTTCGGCGCGGGCCCTCGCACCCCCCCCTCCTCGAATGCTCGAATGCTAGCGGCCATGTCTCTCCGACCGACGTGGCCGACAGCACCCCCCCCTTCCTCCTCCTCCGCCTCCTCCTCCTCCTCCTCCTCCGCCTCGTCCTCCTCCTCCTCCTCCTCCTCCTCCTCCTCCTCCTCCTCCTCCCCTCCCATGGAGTAGATCGTGGCCGTTTGTGGCGCCTGTTTCGAGCAGGTGGGGCTCCTCCCCCAGAGGCCGCACTGCCGCAAACTGTCGCACTGAGCAGAGGTTCGGAGCCCGACCTCCCCCCTCCCCCCCTCCCCTTCCGCCCGATGTCGAAACGCCGAACGAAAGAGCGCTCGCTCGCTCGGGATCCCGGGTGTGGGCCCCAGCTCCTTGGCCGCTCCCGGGATTCCTCTTGGCCTGGGGCAAGTCTCTGTCGCTCGTGGCCCGGGGCTCGCCGCGGCCGGCAGAGCCCGCCCGTCCCTGCTCTCGAGGGGAAGGAGTTCGACGCAGACCTCCCAGGAAGTCTGCAACCCGTCGCCCGCTGCTTGCTCCGAGGGGGAAAAACTGCGTTGCCCGTTACTTGTGCTTCGAGGATGAAACTTCCCAGGAATGCTGCAACCCAGAACAACAGGAGATCAACAAACGCCACGGACACAAACTTTTGGCGCTCCGCGCGGATTCCTTGGATCCGCGCTGGGCCCCCACCGGCGGCGCTTCTGGCGCCGCCCCTGGCGCGCTCCGCGCGAGGGAGGGGCGTCCAGCGCAGATCCAAGAGATCCGCGCGGAGCGCCAAAAGTCTATGTTTGTGGCGTTTGTTCTGTTGTTCTGGGTTGCAGCATTCCTGTGAGGTTTAGTCCAGCATTCCTGGGAGGTTTTAGTCCGCTGGCATATCCGTGGTCAAAATCTGGCCCAATCCGGCTAACTCCCGATTGATGCCGTCGACTCCCGCTCGGTCCTGGGCTTCATCCTGGGTCAATTTTGGGCCTCACCTGTGCAAACCTGGCTCACACTGGCCGATAAATCAGCCTCACTAGCCCTGAACCGTTCTGCCGAGGACCTCCCAGGAGTTGCCTTCTAAAATAGCACGATGGCGTTAGTGCTCTGGGCGGTTTCGGGGAGACGGGGATGCAACATCAGCGGGGGCGGGGCTCAAGCCTGGGCCGGTGAGGACCGCACCCCGCCTCGAACCCTTACTGGTATCGGACTGCCTCTCGACGTTTTTGGAGGTCCAGAGTGCCTTCGTAGGCCTCGGGAAGTCCCCTGACGCCCCCCCGCAGGAGGCGAAGGAGGCACAAAGACGCACCAGAACCTTGATTCTCGTCGTTCTTTCGACGACGACGGTGACTAATTCTCGGTCCTCGATCCTCGGTCCTCTCGCCACGAAGGAAAGATGCCCTCGGTGGGTCTCATGACCAGTTCTCCGTCCCGAGCAGTTTTTTGACGGTCCTGGGGCTCGTGGTGGACCCAGGGGCCCCAGAACGGAGAAGCTTTCCCAGGGCGCCATTTCCTCCAGGACTTGCTTCTTGCATGCGCCAGACGTCCCCTCACGCCACGACTCACAGTCTGCGACCATTTGTGGACCCTACCCCTGCGGGCTGAGGTACCGGGCACCTCCTCTGGGGGGGCCTGGGTGCAGACATTATTTGAAGTCCGACTTCCTGCTGGGGTTTGCAGAACTCCGCAGGGCTCGCGGGGGCCGCTGAGCCCGCCTGGAGAAAAATCATGCGGGAGCACTTCCCGGAGCCCACGCGGCGCGAAGGAGACCCATCCAAACTTCGAGATGTGGGGTCCGGGCTTCTCAAACATCCATCAGGTTTCAGGACGGAGGCCCCAGAGGTTTGGCAGAGGGCCTGAGGACAAGCCCGCTCCGTGCCCAGTGGCACGGAGGCCGACATTTCTCGCATGGGATTGTGAGGGTTGGGCGAGGTTGGATCTCATCTGGGGTGGTGAAGTTTGTGTCGTACGGATGCACACCGAATGGCTTGGTTGGCACAGGCTGGTGTTGGGTCGGATGTATGCGCACCGAGCGTAGTTCTGGGATCGGGCTGTAAGTGGTGGGTCGTGCAGATGTGCGCCGAATAGGATGGTGAGGGCCGATGCGTGCGGATGTGAGCAGACTTTTTCGCCTGTCCAGGCTTTGGGTGGGGTCGACGGCGCGGGTGTCTCCTGGTTGAGGGGGAGGGCAGGTGGGCGCTCGCGAATTCCCTCCGCCCTCGGTCGGGGCCAAGAGGAATTGGATCAGGTGGACAAGGAGTGGGGCAGGTGAGCAGACTGTTTCCTAACTCGGGCGCGCGTGCGGACTGGGCTCAGAAGGCGCGCCTCGGTGGGGTTCCCCCCTCTCCCCTCCCCCCGCGCTCGTGCTCTGTCAGGCGTCTTGTATATGATGTTTCAGGAGGAGAAAAACACAGACACAATTAAACGTGGAGTACCAGGAAAATATGCGAAACTATGGGCAGTGGGGGGGAAGACAGAAACCCAGAAAATATGGGAACATATTGGGGATATTTTCATTTGTGTGTATTTATTTGTGTGTTCCAGATCCCCTTCAGATGTTGAGGGTTGGGTCGGATGGATGTGCACCGAATCGTGTTGGTGCACTGGGCCGCATGCATGCCCGCGGCGCGGAGGCGAGAGCCACACTTTGAGAAGGCACCGTCCGAAGGATTGCAAAAAAACGAAGGATTGCAAAGGATTGCAACAAAAACGAAGGATTGCAAAGGATTGCGAAGGTTTTTTTTGCAATCCTTCGTTCAAAGGGTTTTTTTGCAATCCTTCGTTCAGGTTTTTTTGCAATCCTTCATCCTGGAAGCGATTGTCAGACAAGTGTGCGCGGCGCTGCGGCGAACACCAGATCTGAAGAGGAACCGGCCTCCACCCTGGCAGCTGCTGCAGATCTTGAGCCTCAGGATCCGTACCCGGCGAAGCGCCCGGCCTGGCCTGCGCGGACGTCGGGTGGTGCGACGGGGAGGAGCTGCCTCGAGAGCAGGAGGAGTGGAGGACCCCCCAGAACTGCAGTGTCGCTGTGACTCCTGGCGCGAGACCCCTGTCTCTGATCCGCGGGCGATCTGCGTGCACCGTGCCGCGGTGGCGTCTCCCGAGGCCTTGTCGGCCCTCAACCCAGGAGTGGCAGGGAGCACAGTTCTTGACGGCCCCTGGGGAGCCCAAAGACTGTGCACCCCACCACGTCGGTGCGGGGCCTTTCTGCGGAGCCCAGGCGTGGTGCTGTGCAGGGGCGCCGCTCTCTCGTACTTTTCAGCCGCTCTGTGTGCCAGAAGTGGGATGCCTGCGGCAGGCTCGCGCCGCGTGGACGCGGCGGCGCCCCCGGCGCGGGCGGTCGAGGCTACGAAGCGCCGCCGTCGGCCGAGAATCGGCCGACCAGGGCGCGCGATCTGCGCCAGATCGGGGTCCCGCTGCGGCGGTGGCCTCCTTCCTGTTGGTTTTGGTCCCGGCCTCGCTCCCGCGCTCCGGCCCTTGGACATCGTGCTCCCGCTGCAGCGCTGGTCTCATTTCCGCCGGTGCTGGCCTCATGGCCGCGCTTCCGTTCTCCCCACATCGGGCAGGCACGGTTGCGGAGGGCATGGCGCCGGCATTCCGGAGAGGCTCTGTCCTCTCGCAGACGGGCTATTTACCCTCCAAGCCATCCGGTGCCATGCCACGGCATGCAAGCCGATGTTGAGTTATGCACCGCTGTGCGATGCCATGCTTTGCGTTGCTATGCTTTGTGATGCAATGCTTCACTACGCAATACCACGTCATGCTATGACATGCTATGCTCTGCCGGGCTCTTCTACGCCATGCGTTTCCATCCATCGCGTACCATCTTGTGATCATTGACCTGCTCGACGTTCGATTGTGCGGAAAGATGGGAGATCTACGCCATGATAAGGGATGGGAGGGAGGGGGTGGACGTCAGATGTGACGCTGGCGCACCCAGCTGGCTCTCCCCCCTTCCCCCCCTCTTCCCCCCTCCTCTCCCTCCCTCTCTCCCCCCTCTCCCTACCCCCTCCCTGCCCCTACCCTGAGACCCTGGCGTCGGAATCGCTTCGCAGCGGGCCAGTCTGTCCAGCTTCGGACTCCGGTGCCCTCACCGATCTTGATACAGTGCCGTTTCTAATACACGCTCCGCGTGTGGATCATGTATTAGAAATGCAGGATTTAGTATTAAAAACATAGATGAGTTCGTGCCTAAATTTTTCATACATTGATCATGTAATACAACTCCTATATGATTAAAAATCCTATGTATTAAAACCTGCCCTGTATGGCTCGAGGGGTGCCGCAGAGGAAGACGGGCTCAGGGCTCTGGACGTCGCAGCTGCCTCGCAGCGAGCGTCGGACCTCCGGACGCCAAACATCACCCGTGCCATCCCTTCTCCTGCCCCTCCTGGGGGGCCAACAACATACACCACCACCACCACCTCCCTCCCTCCCCCCCCCCCCTCTCGCTGGACAGAGGAGGGAGGAGGGATCGACGTGGTGGTGGTGGTGGTGGTGTATATTCTCTGGGCCCCCACCTCCTCCCTTCTCCCCCCGCCCTCTGCCAGATGCCCCTCCCCTTCTCTGGCCCCTCCTCCTTTCGCTCCTCCGTCCCCTGCCTCCCGCCCTGCCCCCCCCCCAGACCCTGAGATCCGACGTTTGTCCGCAAGATCTTACACATTTTCCCAGATTCTCGTCGACCACGTTCTTCGATCGGGGTTCAGAAGAGCGTGTTCAGATTGCTGCATAGGCATAGTTGGTCTAGGCATGGTGGGTGGGCAGCCGTGCTTTTTTTTCATCCCCGCACCCTCACAAAAACTCAAGACTGGACCTCCAGACCCCCCCTTTCTGCGCCAGTCTTCGAGCCTGATCGATTTGTGACGGTCCCCGGGCCCGAAGTGGAGCGACAACGCCGGGCTCGGAAAAGTGGGGGATTGGCGGCGAGCAGAAGGGGGTAGGGGGAGGGCGGAAGGCTTCTTAGAAGGATGCTGCTTCTTAGAAGGCGCCGGCCTCTCAACTGCAGAGAAGGCCCGCACCTCCTGAGAAGCAGGGGTGCTTCTAAGAAGCCTTCCCCCTCCCCCTACCCCCCTCTGCGCGCCGCCAGGGGGAGGAGGAGCCGGCCGCAGCGGGAGCGCGACGGGGGCAGCCGAGGGGACGCCGGCCCGCCAGGTGGCCTACGTGAAGCTCGCCAGCGACGGCGCCCCGGCCAGCGGCAAGCAGGCGCGCCCCGGCTGGCCGGGCACGGCGCCCCACATGGAGGAGTATTCAAAAACGGTCGAAGCGTGAACTGGGGAGTAGTCCTCGACTTTTCCATACCCTTTTTGAAATATATTTGAAGTATAGTTATATACTTTTTGAAATATATCTTTTTGAAATACATTTGAAATATACCTTTTTGAAATATACCCTTTTTGAAATATACCTTTTTGAAATATATTTGAGGTATAGTTTTTGGCAGTGTGTCAGTTTGCCTCGCGAAGCGGCCTCTATAGGGGGACAGGCCCGAGCTAAAGGGAGCCTGGAGACGGGGCCAGTGCAAGCGGGGGTCGGCCAGAGCGCCGGATCCTGCAGGATCCTGCGCCAACGACGGGTGGGTGCAGGCGCAGGGGGGGGACGCCTCGGCCCCCGGCCGCCCACCGATCGCCAGAAGGGGCCCGAGAGCCTCAACCGCTGCTCCGGAACGTGCGGGTTCGCGATCGGGGGCCTATCGCTAATCTACTGGCGGTGTATCGCCGATTCCAGGCCGACGAATGGACTGGTCAAGTACAACGACGTGCTGCTCTTGGACCAGCAGATCTGAGAGACGGGGTGGCTTGGCAGTCCGCTGTCTGCCGCCATTGCAGTTAGAATTGTGTCCACGCGCCTCGGCGTCGGACCCCCCATGTGCCAGTTCCCCCTATCGTTCTCCCTCAGGGGTGCATCGATCCAGGTCAGCGCGCAGGATCTTGCCGGATTCCGGAGGATCCTGCGGGGTCCTGCAGAGCCCGACTGGCCCGGGTTTGGGTTGGCCCGGGTCAGCAGATCCCCGAAGCACCGCTTCCCCGCCTCGCACCTCGCTCTCAGTTTCACCCTTGCGCTCTTTGCGGCCCAGGGGCTGACCTGAGCGGGGTTTCGGCGATCTCGTGGGCCGCTCTCGGTTCGTTTTCGCTTTGCAACATGGCCATCGAGGGAAAACGAAAGCAAAACGAAAACGAACAACACTGTTTAGGTTGGCCCCTGTGGAGCGAAAACCCCAAAACACTGTGCAGGCCGATCCCGGTTGCGGCCTCACGCGCCGCGCACCCGCGGAACGCCGACAGCCTGCCCACGGTAATTATAGGTCCCGGTCTGCAGCGTGGGCGGATCGAAGAAAACGAGGTGTGCATCGACCCAGGTCAGCGCGCAGGATCTTGTGGGTGCCTGGGCTTCGGGGCCGCCGGGGACCCTCCGCCGAGCAGCTCAAGGCGCCCGCTGCGTGTGCGGCGGACCGAGGTCTAAGGTCGAGGTCGACTCGGGGAGGGTACCCTCGTGCTCTTCGTGTTTGTCGGATGTCGTCGTGCATCCTGGGGAAGGGTACCCTTGGACATTTTGCGTGTTTTGGCTGGCGGAAGGTCCCATGTTCTTGAAGGATGTTCTTTTTTGTCCCAGGTCCGACTGCAAGCTGTCGGAGCTCCGTGCGGATTTCTCGGATCTGCGCTGGGCGCCCCCCCAGCGGCGCTTCCGGTGCCGCCCCTGGCGCGCTCCGCGCGCCAGGGATGGGGGGTCCAGCGCCGATCCCAGGAATCTGCGCGGACCTTCGAATGTTTATGCTTATGCCGCGTTCCTTGATGTTCTGCAGCTTCCGGCACTGGGGGCCACTGGGACAACCATCGACCTGCAGCTGATGCGTCAGCCTCCCCTTGCCCTCCCCGCGGCGTCTGCCCCGAGAGGAGGAAGGGAGCGCAGCGAAGAGGGAAGAGGGAGAGGTGGAGGAGGAGGAGGACGATGAGGAAGAGGAGCAGGAGGAAGAGGAGGAGTAGGAGTAGGAGGCGGAGGAGGAGGCGGCGGAGGCGGAGGAGGAGGAGGAGGAGCAGGATGAGGAGGAGCAAGAAGATTATGCTGAGGACTCAACTAATGAGATGTTTGGAGGATGGGCAAATAGGAAGGAAGATGAGGTTTCTGTCCGAGGAGGGGGGACGATGCTGAGTATGATGTCGGGAAAGGGAGACGAGAAAAAGGAGACTGTTCAGAAAGGGTTGAGCTTCAGCAGCAGGATGAGGATGACAAGAGGAAAGGGGAGGCCGATGAAGTTGGGTTGCAAGAGCACCAGGAACACGATGATGGGGAGGAGCAACACGCGAGGAGGAGCACGAGGGTGCCGAAGTGGCAGGCTTGAAATCTAAAAACTTCGGGAAACATGCATCAATGATACCGCGAACCAGAGTCCCATCCATACTTCAGGACTTGCTGAGAAATATGTACCTCGGTTATGTCTCTTGGTTTTGATGCGATGGAGGTCTGCGAACCCGTTTGACGAAGACATGTGTTGATGTATTGACGTACAGTTGCTCAGTACATTTTGCAGAATGGTGGTCCCTGGCGTCACGTGGGGGCGAATTCGAGAGCAGGGCCGAGCGCTGATTGTTGTAGTTCTCTTTTGTGGTGGTGTGCTCTTAGCCCTCGGCGTAAGTTATAAAAAGGCTAGTGTTTGGCCGCCCTGATGTCAAACTAGACCAACAGCTTAAGCCCCCAAGTGATGGCCCCACTCCACGGTTCCCTCGACCACGATCTGCAACTGTTGGGCTTTGGCAGCCGTCACCAGGGCCATCACACATGCACATGTGTGATTACGAGGCACTGCGTAGGCATGGCGCAGCAGTGATCGACATTTGCGGGGGGCAGTGTGGAGACCGCGGGCTTGTTGCCGCGAGGTAGCCGTGCTGTAGCCCCATCACGGGTCCATTGGGCGCGACGAAGCTGTGAGTCGAAGGTTTGTGCCTTGGCACCGTGAATCGTGATGGTTCGGCCCCGAATCCATGTCTGGTGAAGGTCAGCAGGGTCATCAGTTCAGCATCGTCTGACCAATCCCCATCCCGCTGGGCCATGGCATGTCAGTCCCACCAGCCCACCCTCCTAGGTGGGGATGGACCCCGCGAGATCTGAATGACCAGGCGTATGTCCCCACCTAGGTGGGTAAGGCGGCCATTGCGGCCAAGGCCACTCCGGAGGTAATGGTATCCAGTAAAGGATGCTCATCCGCGGGTCAGTTGTCTGGCTGGTGAGCAGGCCGCCGCAGTCTCAAACGACACCATGAGAATTTGTGCCATCTGGCGCGTGAATTTCTATACGTTGACTTAGGGCTTAGGAGTATCCACCGTGCCTGCTAGAGGCATCAACACGGAAGCTGGCCCCTTCAGCCCAAGAGCAGTTGTTGTTTGATAGATCCTTGGGTGGAGGGATGGAATTGAGACTCTGCAGGGCGCAGCAGTGATTGTTCCAGTGGCCTCCAGTTGGTACAGGCTGGAGCGCCTCGGTCGTGGCACGTGACGGCGGTCCAGCCTTGAACGGATTTGCAGTTGAAGAGCGGGGGAAGTGACGGAGTTTGGATGTCAGCGGCAGTGACTAGAGCAATTGGGGAAGGGAGGTAGGTCCGAAGGGCCACGCCCTCTGTTGTTCGCCCCCCTTGATGAGTTCAGTTCGTAGCTTGGCAGCCATCGGGTCGGACACTTGTGCAGGACTTTCGTGTACCTCATCGGAGCTTTTCCAGGGCCCGCTAGTCGTTGTCAGCAGTGCACTGTATGAGGCCCTTGGCATCACATGAGGCAACAATGATATTGACAACAGGGATCGAACAGTCTTGCCCTCCTCTGATGCCCCACTGACTGCTTCCACATGATATTGCTCCAAGGCCACCCTACGGCTTCCCTCCTTTCGCATGGTTGGGCAGCACTGGCCCAATACAGTCAAGACGCTGCTATCAGGACAACTCTGGGGCCAGGAGGGGGCTCTGGGTCTAAGGCCGTTCCCTAAATCTAAGTCGTTAACCTAGTATTCAGTCGGGCGTGCCCCTCTACAGGAGGAATACTCAAAGATAGTAAAACATATGCTGGGGACTATTTTTTGAATATGTTTGACCAATTGGGGTATTTTTCCCTACCTAGGCTCTGCCTAGCAGGGTTCTTACTCTATAGCTTAAAGGGGCCGGGCAGTGCAACCCGCCGCGGGCGGTTCCCCCAGTCCCCTGGGAGCGGTTCCCCCAGTCCCCTGGGAGCTTTAGCTTTAGCTTTAGCTTAGCTTCAGCTTAGCTTTAGCTTAGCTTTAGCTTAGCTTTAGCTTAACTTTAGCTTAGCTTTAGCTTAGCTTTAGCTTAGCTTTAGCTTAGCTTCAGCTTAGCTTCAGCTTAGCTTCAGCTTAGCTTCAGCTTAGTGTCAGCTTAGCTTTAGCTTAGATTTAGCTTAGCTTTAGCTTAGCTTCAGCTTACCTTTAGCTTAGCGTTAGCTTAGCTTCAGCTTAGCTTTAGCTTAGTTTCAGCTTAGCTTCAGCTTAGCTTTAGCTTAGCTTTAGCTGAGCTTTAGTTTAGCTTTAGCTTAGATTTCGCTTAGCTTTAGCTGAGCTTTAGCTTAGCTTTAGCTTAGCTTTAGCTTAGCTTTAGCTTAGCGTTAGCTTAGCTTTAGCTTAGCTTTAGCTGAGCTTCAGCTTAGATTTAGCTTAGCTTTACGTTTGCTACTAAGGATGCTTTCTTAGGGGCTCCATTTCCTAGGTGGGGTCGCACTGGGATAAGTATGATCTGTTTGTTCCCCAACCATCCTGTGGTGTTGGGTCCTCGTTTTGAAGAGTCGGTTCCCGCGTTCCTTTCCACTTCTCCTCTTCGTCTCCTCCTCCTCCTCCTCCTCCCTTTCCTCCCTTCCCTCCTCCTTCCATGCGTTTCACCCACCCAGTACAGCGCTCCGTGGCCCCATAGGGAGCTCCACCGAAGCCTCCATTGGGACCGCCCGCGTGCGTCCCCCACACCAAATTTGGTATTTTCACCCACCCAATACCGCGTTTCGTGGCCCCATAGGGAGCCCCACCGAAGCCCCCAGTGGGACCGCCCGCATGCGTCCCCCACGCTAAATTCTGCATGCTCACACACCCAGTGCAGCGCTTCGTGGCCCCACAGGGAGCTCCACCGAAGCCCCCAGTGGGACCGCTCGCGTGCGTCCCCCACGCCCAATTCGGCATTTTCGCATACCCAGTACAGCGTTTCGTGGCTCCACCGACCC